CGCGTCGTCCATGTGGAGACCCTGGTCAGACACGTAGTGTCCTAAGAAATCCACTTTGTGCTGGGCAAAGCGGCACTTGCTCAGCTTGGCATAAAAGCCATGTCTGCGCAAGCGGTCAAGGACGTCGCGGAGGTGTCTGAGGTGCTCCTAAAGGGTACGACTGTAGACCAGGATATCGTCGAGGTATACGAGAACGTACTGCTCCAGGATGTCCCTGAAGATGTCGTTCATCGCCGTCTTGAAGGTAGCGGGTGCGTTGGTGAGACCGAATGGCATCACCGTAAACTCATAGTGGCCGAAGCGCGATCGAAACCCTGTCTTCGGTTGGTCCGCTGCAGCGACGTGGATCTGATGGTAACCGCTATATAGATCAATCTTCGTAAAGAAGCAGTTGCCTGCTAGGCGGTCGAACAGCTCATCGGAACGAGGCATGGGGTAGTTGTTCTTAACCGTGTAGCGGTTGAGACCGCGATAGTCGATGCAGAGACGGAGAGTTCCATCCGCTTTGTGAGCAAAGAGGATGGGTGCACCCCACGGGGAGTTGCTGGGTTTAATGAAACCCAGTCTCAAGAGCTCCTCAAGCTGACGCTTGAGTTCGGTGGCCTCGGGGATCGAGAGTCTGTAGGGTGCTTGGTGGTGAACACGATAGTCAGGCAGAAGCTGGATGGAGTGCTCAACGTCGCGCATCGGTAGGATGTCGGCGTACGAGAATGACGATGGAAAAACGTCGTGGTACTCTCGAATGAGGTCACGAACAGCGGACTCCAAGTCGGCCGTATATCGTGCGAGTTCCTCAGCGTCAACGTCAGCGCGCGACGGCGGGGTGGACTCGATGGACGGCGGAGGGTGGGAAGTAGAGATGGGAGCCATGGAGATAGGAGGAGAATCTGGCTCCAGAGGGATGAGTTCGGCGTCGGGACAGGGTGGATCATAGTGTAAGAGATCCGTCACGTTCACCATAAAGAAGGTGACGTCGTCCTGTCGGATGAAGTGGGCGAACTGCCGAGGCGAGGTGACAGTGATAGAAGGAGATGGTGTGGGCACGAAAGGCTCCGGGGGAGGAGGATCGGGGCGTGGTGTCACAGTGGTACCTATGAAAGGTACGCGATACATCTGTCAACACTTCGTTTTGAGAACGAGAGTGTTGGTCGTCCAATCGGCCTCGGTGCTGCGGAACCAACGAGACCACGGAGTACCGAGAATGAAGTCGTACCCCGTCTCCATCACATCGAAATGTGCGGAGGAGGGGTGGCGACGAGACGCCGGGGGACGATCAGTCGGCTCGAGAGTAAGGAAGAAAGGGAGGTCGGGGACCGTCTAATCGAAGAAGCGCTGGGTCTTGTCATCCCACAGCGTTGAATACACCCTCGTGGAGGTCCCCAGTCATACGGGGATGATCGGGAGGGTGCGATCGGGGTCAGAGAGGATGGTGAGAAGGCGACGCAGTGCAGCGACATGGAGGGTGAGTCGCTCCTGACAAGCCTGGAGCATGCTCAAGTCCAGAAGAGAGGACACAACGTCCGCGCGAGTAGCGAGCTGCTTGCTGCAACGGGCTGAGCGAATGGCTCGACGCGTCGGTAGTCGCGGCCGGGTAGGAGGGGAGACGGTGGTCTGCGGAGGCGCAGACGGTACTGTGACAGAGGGCTGAGTACACTCTGTCGGGTCCTGCGAGACTTCAACTCCCATAGTGAGAGGGTCAAACCGCGACGGGGATGTCGGGAAGCCAACTACTGAGGAGGGCGCAGGTGTACACTGCACCGTGGCTAGGAGGTGCCGCGGGGATGCGAGGCGCCGGGGGGGGACTGAGCACGACGCTGGCGGGAAAGGTCAGCGTAGTAGTGTAAGGGCACCGCGAGGAGGTATGATCGTCCTGGCGGCATCGCAAACACCCACGCCGGCCCAAAATAGCCGCACGCTCCTCAGCAGAAAGGACACCGCGAGGAGGGACAAAGCCCTGAGGGAGGTCTTGTTGAGGGACCTTGGGGGGCGACGCTCCAGCGTGACCGGGGCGGCTGCATGCCCGGGAGAGGGCGGAGAGGATGAGCTGGAGGCGCTCGGCCATAGGGAGAGTAGAGTCCTCCAGGTGGTAGTGGATGGCCTCGCCGAGGTCGAGGTCGTCGCTATGGTCACCCTCAAGCGACAGCGGGGCAACAGCGCCCTGCTCACCATACTCGAGCGCGCTGAAGCGGCGCAAGAAGTGGCGACCCTGCTGAGCAGAACGGCGGGGGCGGCCGCGGAAAGGGGAACGGCGCTGGGAATTGCCGTGAGAGGAGGAGGGGGCGTAAATAGTACGCTGAGGCTGGGAGGAGGAAGTGGGGTGAAGACGGGCCCGCATCCAACCCGCATGAAGGGAGTCAGCGTAGAAATCCTCCCAGGCGTCCAAAGGACCGCCACGCAGGCGCCCGGAGAGGTGACCCACCCATGTGTCGGGTGGGGCGCCCATGAGCTGGAGGGTGCGGGTGGCAGACTGTAGCCACCGAGACACGCGTATGCCTGTACTGTCATACAAGGCAATGTCCGTCAAGCGGACGAGTGGTGCGCCACCGTTTTGGCGGCGAGGGGATCGAGGAGCAGAGGCATGTGCCACGGCTGAGTAAGTCGGCGCAGGTCCTGGAGAAAAGGGCGCAGCTGACTATGCGCCCGGGCCACATGGGGGAGCGGCGAGGGCAACAGCTGCAGGCTGCGAGGGAGCTGCAATAGAAGAGGTCGCAGCAACCGCGGGAGTAGGAAGAAGGTAGGATGGGGCTGGATAGGGTGCAGGGCGAGGGAAGCGAGCCTGCATGGAAGGAAGGGTAGAGGAAGGAGGGGGTGCGCCCGAAGGCGCGGCCACCTGTGAGGGTGGGGGTGGCTGAAGGCGTAAGAGGGCAAGGTCGGCCCGGATCTGGGCAAGGCCGTCCTCGAGACGTTGGACGTAGATCGAGGGAGGAGTGGCAGGAGGAAGAGTGGGGGAAGTGGACGCACGAGAGGCGCGGGGCATCCCATAAGGGGGAGAGCCAGGTGGCCCTGCGGTCGTGCGAAGGGGAGGGAGAAGCGGGGCACCCGGAAAAGCTGAGACCATGGTAGCGGGTAATGGTCCCGTGGCTGTAGTGACCGGAATCTGGGCGGGTGCGCCCGTAGAGTGAGGGAGGGCCTGACTCGTGGCGGCCGTCGAGCTAGGGGCGTGGACGGTCACCCAGATGGTCGGGTCGGGGGCAGCGGAGGAGGAAGCTCCACCGTGGCCACCCTGTCGGAGGACTGGGGACCCGGACTGGGAGCCAGGAGAGGAGGGAGAGTCAGGAGATGGAGGACAGGCAGCGTCCTGGACTTGCTGCATGCCGGCTTGCGCCTGTAAGGGCGCAAGGATCGCGAGTTGTGCCCAAATGGGCGCGAGGAGGGAAGTGAGGAGGTTGTGCAGATCCCCCTGGGGCTGCTGGCCCTGGACCGCCGGCACGGATGTGGATCAGGGTCCTCGGTAGGCCCAAGGGGCCGTGTTTGCAGCATTGCCCACCCTAAGTGAAGGTGGAGGTGCCCGCCCTAAGTGAAGGCGGGCCTAACATTTCACAAGAGGCCTACAACTGTCAATTTCATATTTGGGGGTACAGGCAGTTGCGACGCGCCAGTTGGTTGAGAGAAACACAGGCCGAGCAACAAAGACATTTCCACGGCCCTCCGGGCCTTTCCAAAGAATGCAGGCCCTGGGCGTGATTCGCAGCCTCATACAGAGACAGTTGGGCGCCCAACCGAACGAGGCCTAGTAGCCCAGTAGCTGCTGTACACAGGCAGCCTCCTGGGGCCTTCCGGAAGCTTCTGGGCCCAAGCCAGTGCACCAGGCTGCTCGAGCGGGCCAACTCTTTCCATAAAGGAAAAAGTTCTCGCCAGGCAGCTCATTCGGTCACTTGCTGGCTGGCGGCAGTGCTGCTGGAGCGATTGCTCGTGGGCTGGCTGCCGGCATTGGAGCAAGCGGCTGCGCACATGCGGTCGTGTGTGGGAGCAGGGCGCTGCTGAGGGCAGCGCCATAGCCAGCCTCCATAGCGGGCTCGGCTTGGACACACAGTGAGGCGCAGGGGTGGTCTTCGGGTACAAGAGAGGACAGGTGTGGGTGTTAAGTCAAGGAAGGGTGAAGGATGATGATGATGATGATGTGAGGGCACTTACCTTGTATTGGCGATGGTCAGCATATGGGCGACATCTCCAAGTACTTCGGGGTTGCCGCTGATGTCAACAGTTGCATTGTCTATTATTAGGCTGATCGTAGCTRTGTAGGAGTAGGCTGGGCGCTGAGCGCCAAGTAGGAGTGTGAAGGGACTGGACTCTTGTGTTGCTGAAGGAGAGAGAAAGCTCTCCCTGACATTGGTTTTCAGTACTACGAACCTCCATTGGTGTATTATTGGTGCATTGCTGCTCTCTGGACACTGTGTGACTATCTGGCTTTTTATGTGATGGTGTAATCTGGATTTGTCATCTCGTTGTTGCTTATTTTCCTTGCAATGTGGTATCGGATCTGGTTCATATTGCGCTTCATTGGTTCTTCGCAATAGCTATTGGTGCTTCGCATGAGGTGTGGGTCAGTGATAAGGCATTGGCGTTGAACATTAGGCGGCCCAGGGTAGAGTGGGCGCGCTAGGGAGCTATGTGGTGACATACGGGATGTATGCTGGATGATGAGAGCTCGCTGATGTGGCATATTAAGCCGAGGTGGAACGACATTCTGCTGTTTGTTGTGCCGAGGCAAAGACCGGTCATCATAATTGCACATCAGGTTACCGATGAGAAATCTGTGGTTGGGGGCAACATTTATGAGGTACGTTGCTCTCTTCCTTATCTACCCTCTTCATCTCTTCTTACCGTGAGGAAGTGAGTTATGTCTTGAGAGTCCTCTCGATGTGAGGTGTCGCGAGCGCTCAACCTTGAGAGTCGACATTCTTCCTGGGCAGCAAGCTGGTGGGAGACGGGCGAAGCCTCTGAAGGGCCCTGGACGAAGCACTCGGTTCACGGTCACCATGCCAACCCGCTGGGACTAGTACATGCATGCTTTGCCGCAAGTCCTTGGTTCTACTGCTTGTGCAATAGAGGTCATGCAGGGCACGCCAGCCCTTTGACGGACGCTTACCAGACCGTCTTTAAATATTTCTGGTTGGGGACTCGAAATTGAATCTGGCTGTGATCATCGTCCTGTCTGCGACGTTAAATAATTCCTGAGGAGATGGGGGCTCTCCTTAAATCCCTCCTGATCAGCCAGATCAACCGGGTGTAAGGCTCGTTGCATGCGAGGATAAATAAAGTGCAAGGGCTCGCAGGTTCGGCGTTGACTTGAGGCACAGAGGTGGGCCGGATTGCACACCTTCAGACACGCTGCTCAACCAGATGCTCAGGACGTTGACACAAAGTGACCACTCAAGAAGGATATAGGGGGAGGGGGGATTCCGGTAACTGTTCGTAGTGGCAATCAACAGACAATCTGCCATCAAGCATACATCTCCAACAGGAGATGTGATTTTTATTTTTGATTATCTAGTTGTTACAGACTTGACTAACAACTGACAGACAGCTACAGACAGATTAAATCTTTGTTGTATAGAAATCTGTTATAGGATAATCTAAAAATAGATGTGATATTTCCTGTAGGATCTGACATTAGTTGTTGTTACATCACCTAACTGTTTCTGTTCCATCCGACCGAAATTATTTGTGATTCATAATCGGTCGTGTGTCAGGCTAAGGTAGGATTCAGCGTGGATTCTAGTTTAGATCACACACACTGTAGCTCATGAGTGATGCAAGCACTAGTGAGGAGGAGCTATTAGTGGACGACCGTAGGACTACTCGCGGGACTGCTCCTGGTCGACCCTTGACATTCTTGGAGTTAGGTCCACGAGACGAGAGAAGATTGCGGAGAGAGGCTAGAGAGAGAGCAGCGACAAGGAGAGTGAGGGCAACTGAGGATAGTGCTAGGGCTAGAGTTTCAGCTAGCACCGGTGCAGCCATGGCTACTTCATCTATGTCGCAAACCTCTTCACAGTCCACTTCGTCAGGAGTCGGTCAGAGTGGTTCTCAGGGGTCCGTTAGTCAGACTGCTAGCTTGCGAGTCAGCCAGTAGACTCAACTCACGCCGGAGGATTTAGAAATCCGGCAAGCAGAAAAACTTCGGGATGAGCTACAGCGGCAGTTGGACGAAGCAGCAGAGAGGAGAATAAAGCAATACTAAAAAAGGCTAGACTAGGTAGTAGAAGAGAGGAGCTAGGCAGTTTGGAGGGACTAGATGAGGCGGCATTAGACCCTGCTGTCCGTTTGCTGCGTAATGCTTTACTATCAGTGGCCGAAGCGCAGAATGTCCAGCAGGAGTTGCTGGCTGAATTGGTAGCAGGCCAGAAACAAATCCTGACCGAACTCCGGGCTCCTCGTACGATGATGAGGCAGCCACAGTTTGCTGTAGTTCCCCCTATGGGTGCGGGTCCTTCATCGATGCCGCAACCCACAGGGCCAACTTTCTCCCCTATGTTTGGCATACCCCCTCCAGGTGGTTTAGTAGCAACTAGTGGTCCGGTCCATAGGGTCTCAGCCGTACCATCCACGATAGTGGTCACTACAGTCCCATTGTCAAGCCAGGCTCAGGTTAGTGTGCAACAGCCTGTTTCAGTGGCTATGCAGCCGTTGCAGGAAGCCCCTGGGCCCATGCAGCCTATGCAGTGGATGCCTAAAATACCTCTGATGAGTCCCAAGCCCTTCTCTGGAGATAAGAAGAAGGATGAGGACTTAGACACCTGGGTGAGGACTATGCCTACTTATGTGAGGCACAAGCTCACCAGGCCAGAGCAGGAAGTTGTAGTGGCTGCCTCCTTTTCAGAGGGGTCAGCAGCCCGCTGGTTGAATGGCTTAGTGCAGCAGCAGGGCTACGGTCAAAACTTCGATGCCTGGGCACAGGCTCAGACATTGGAAGAGTTCGTACGGTCCGTGTATAACAGGTGGCATGACAAGCAAGGGGCTCAGAAGGGCACCGATGCAATCAACAATCTTTGTTCACGCAGGTTCAAGAATGTTAGAGAGCTAACGGACACCGTAGAACGTTTACTCGTGGTACCTGGTGTGCGCTTTGATCAGCAGGTTCTCCTGACGGATTACCTAAAGTGCCTACCTGCAGAGGTAAGGACCAAGTTGGTTGATGAGGCCTATGTCGAACAGCACACCTTCGCTTCTTTTAGTAAAAAAGCTCTGGACATAGAGGCAAAGTTGGGATCCGCTCATCAGGTACCTCATGATGGTAGGAAGAGACTCCCCCAGGACTGGAAGAAGAAGGGTCAGTTGATGTTCGTTGACCATGATGGTCAATCGACGGAGATTGACGATTTCCCAGATCTTGGAGAGGTGACAGAGCAGGATGGGGCCAATGAGACTTCGGATGGGGGAGTCGTGGCACCTATCAAAGAAAAGGCTAGGGGGACCGTGAAGAAGAAGGTAGTACGGTCCACGGGTCAGGGCGACCAAGGAACACCCGCATGGGTAAAACTTGGTTTAGCGTATGAGGTGTGGAGAGACAGAGTTGCTGGCGGCACGTGCATGAACTGTGGCAATTATGGCCACAAGTCTAGAACGTGTCGAGGCAAGAAAGTCTTGACGAGGGTAGCCTCACCAACGGTGGTGGGACTATCTTCGAAATCTGGCGGTGCTTCTGCGAGCACTTCGCAGGGAAACACCTCGGGCCAGTAGGAGTTTTAGCCGCTCTTACTCGCGCTGAAGTGGTTACGTTGCCTTCCCCACTTCAAGCGTTGGCCAAGGCTAGTAACCCACGTATCGCCCCGCGGAAACATTCAGACCCACCGAAGCTCTGTTCGAGAGACGTGTCCGAGGCCCTAGAGGAGTTAGAGACTGAGTGGTCAGGGAAGGACCCCAGGGACTCTTGGGCGATGATAAGTAGAGGTCCAAAGGGTGAACATTTCGTGGTAGAGGTTGATGTAGGTGGCCGCAAGGTTGGCGCCTTCATAGACATAGGCTCTACACAAAACTTCATCAGTCGTGCTTGTGTGGACAGACTGCGCTTAGGGGACCAAGTGCAGCGGCTTAGCAGAACTGTAGCTTCTACGCCGGCCAACAAGCACCAAATGTTGGTAAAAGACTATGTCAAGGACGTAGTCTGCACTTTCTCCTATGGAGGAGGGGATGTGAGCCATAAGATCTCCTTCCTAGTTAGCGACGAACTGCCCTTTGATATGCTCCTAGGTGTGTACTCCCTCGAGGTCGCGCAAAGGTATTGATTCACAAATTGCCCAACGGTAGATCTGTTAGATTGCAAAAGTTCAAAGCTAGCAGTCTGATAGAAAACTACGGGTGCATGTGTGCATCATCCTTCTATAACTATTATAAGCAGAATCGTGAGGAGGGCATGTGTCTGTGAGAAAGGGGAGGCCGTACAAACACCCCCAGAGATAGAATCAGTCGTCGCACAATATTTAGACCTTTTTTAGGAGCCCACAGGCGTGGTGGAAAGGGAGGTTGTCCATGCAATAGAGGTGGTCCCAGGTAGTAAGGTGCCTAGAGGACGAATCTATWGGATGTCTCCTGCGGAGTTAGATGAGCTTCGCCGCCAGCTCAAGGAGCTCACAGAGAAGGGATGGATTCGGCCTAGTACCTCCCCTTACGACGCTCCAGACCTATTCGTACTGAAGAAGGGAGGTACCTTGAGGATGTGCATTGACTATAGGGGCCTCAATGCCATCACCGTTAAGAACGCGGAGCCCCTACCCGGATTGACGACCTCCTGGATAGAGTGCAGGGATGCAGGTACTTCACCAAGATAGATCTGAAGTCCGGATACCATCAACTTGCCATTAGGCCTGCGGATCAACACAAAACCGCATTTCAGACCAGGTACGGTCTGTACGAGTTTGTGGTGATACCCTTTGGACTATGCAATGCACCTGGTACGTTCCAGCACGCGCTGAACATGATTTTTCATGACTACTTAGACAAGTTTATCGTCGTGTACCTCGACGATATTCTCATCTTTAGTAGGACTGTAGAGGAGCACGCTGAGCACTTGAAAACAGTGCTAGGTCTCCTAAGACAGCACCAGTACAAGGTTAACTTGGAGAAATGCGAGTTTGGTCGCACCAAGATCTTGTACTTGGGTCATGAAATCTCAGCAGATGGACTGAGGCCGGATGATGCAAAGGTGGCCAGCATACATGACTGGCCCAGACCTCAAACTGTTACTGCGGTCAGATCGTTTTTGGGGATGTCGGGCTACTATCGTCCGTTTGTGAAGAACTATAGTACTATAGCTTCCCCATTGACAGATCTAACTCGACTGGACACCCCTTGGGAGTGGACTGAATAGTGTGAGGCAGCCTTCAGGAAACTGAAGTATGCCCTGACACTATGAGGTTCTTAAACTTCCTGATCCTGATAAGCCGTTTGTCGTGACCACAGACGCCAGCCAATATGGCATAGGCGAGGTCCTTGCGCAAAAGGAGGGGCCCAAGTTGAGACCTATCGAGTACATGAGCAAAAAGATGCCATCTCAGAAACTAGCTAAGTCCACTTATGAGCGTGAGCTCTATGCCCTGTACAGAGCGCTGGTACATTGGAGACACTATCTCCTTGGCAGATTCTTCTACATGAGATCTGACCATGAGACCTTGTGTTGGATCAAGACTCAGCCAGTACTCTCTGACACACTCAAGCACTGGATACAAGTGATAGACATGTATGACTATCAACTTGATCCAAATTAAGGGAGAGTACAACAAAGTGGCTGATGCATTATCTCGTCGGGCAGATTATCTGGGTGCACCGGCGACTGAATTTGGCATATCTAGCGACTTAACTCGATCATTGGTGGATGCCTATCAGCAAGATCCAGTTATGTCTGAGATCATCCGTAGATTCCAAGCATAGGACAAAAAGACTTTGGACGAATTTACGATGGTAGACGGCTTGCTGTTTCTTGAGAAGGCAGGGAATAAAAGATTGTGTGTTCCCAGTAGTAGTGAGTCTTTGCGTAGTTTATTTTTAGGAGAATGCCATGATGCAACTGGTCATTTTGACTACGAAAAGACATCAGCGAACTTAGTACAAAGATTCTGGTGGCCCTCTATGATGCTAGATGCAAAACGCTATGTTGAAACTTGCCAGGTTTGCCAAAGGGACAAACCAAGGACTCAGGCTCCGCTTGGGCTGATCAAGCCCTTGCCGATTCGACCTGGTCAGAGTGTGTCCATAGACTTCATGGATACTCTTGTGACCAGTAAATCCGGAAAAAGGCATATCTTTGTAATAGTGGACCGCTTTACTAAGTATGCAAGACTAATCGCTATGCCAGAAACAGCTAAAACTGACCACGTCATCAAACTGTTTATGGATAATTGGGTACGTGATTTTGGTTTGCATACATCTATTGTTAGTGATAGGGATGTGAGATTCACAAGTGAACTGTGGCAGTCAACCGCTGAACAGATGGGCACCAAACTCCAAATGACCTCCGGGAATCACCCTGAGTCAAATGGCCCAGAAGAACAGATGAACCGGGTAGTACAACACCTGCTTCGGCTTTATATTAAGCCAAGCCAGGATGACTGGGACGAGAAGTTACCGCTCGTCACCAGCCTGTACAACAATGCTGTGCACAGTACTACCGGTATGACTCCCAACCAGTTACATCTAGGTTGGAAGCCCAGAACTGCACTAGACTTTCTGCTACCAGAAAGACAACCCACTGCAACACCTGGCAGCATAGACTTTGCTGTCAAATATGAACAGATGCTGCAGCAGGCCGTTGAACATATTAGGAAGTCTCAAGATGCTATGATCGCATCTGAGAATAAGCATAGACGGCCCTCTAACTTTCAGGTAGGTGATAGAGTCTGGGTAAAGTCATCTGAACTAGGTCAGGAGATGGGGATATCCAAAAAACTGATGCCACAGTATTTTGGGCCCTGGGAGATCTTGGACATTGTAGGGGATCAACCAGATGGGCCTTCATACGTGATCCGTATTCCTGCACACCTACGCACATACCCTGTGTTCCATGCCTCCAAGCTGGAACCTTTCGCGGCCACTGACCAGTTTCCTTCAAGAAGATCAATGCTGCCCCCAACCATGGACGGCAAGGCGGACATCGATCACATTGTGGAGCATCGAATGATGCCTGTTCCTCGCTCATCAGGCAGAGGGCGCCCTCCTAAACCGAGAATGTAGTATCGTGTGAGCTTCAGACATCACCTTGATCCCAAGAAAGATTGCTGGTTCACACGAGAGGAACTCATGAGAACAGCACCTCAAGTGATTGCAGGCTATTAAAGAGAACGAAAAGGGAAGATGCCTGCAGAATAAGAGACTTCTCAGAGGACTAACGAAGTAAAGGAGGAGGGAATGCAAGGATCAGGGTCCTCGGTACGCCCAAGGGGCCCTGTTTGCAGCATTGCCCGGCCTAAGTGAAGGCGAAGGTGCCCGCCCTAAGTGAAGGCGGGCCTAACATTTCACAAGAGGCCTACGACTGTCAATTTCATATTTGGGGGTACAGGCAGTTGCAACACGCCAGTTGGTTGAGAGAAACATAGGCCGAGCAACAAAGACATTTCCACGGCCCTCCGGGCCTTTCCAAAGAATGCAGGCACAGACAGCCTCCTGGGGCCTTCCGGAAGCTTCTGGGCCCAGGCCAGTGCAGCCAGGGTGCTCGAGCAGGCCAGCTCTTTCCTATGGAAAGAGCTCTCGCTAGGCAGCTCATTCGGTCACTTGCTGGCTGGCGGCAGCGCTGCTGGAGCGATTGCTCGCGGGCTGGCTGCTGACATTGGAGCAAGAGGCTGCGCACGTGCGGTCGTTTGTGGGAGCAGGGCGCTGCTGAGGGCAGCGCCATAGCCAGCCTCCATAGCAGGCTCGGCTTAGACACACAGTGAGGCGCAGGGGTGGTCTTCGGGTGCAAGAGTGGACAGGTGTGGGTGTTAAGTCAGGGAAGGGTGAAGGATGACAATGATGATGATGTGAGGGCACTTACCTTGTATTGGCGATGGTCAGCATATGGGTGACATCTTCAAGTACTTCGGGGTTGCCGCTGATGTCAACAGCTGCATTGTCTATTATAATGCTGATCGTAAATGTGTAGTAGGCTGGGCGCTGAGCGCCAAGTAGGTGTGAAGGGACTGGACTCTTGTGTTGCTGAAGGAGAGAGAAAGCTCTCCCTGACATTGGTTTTCAGTACTACCAACCTCCATGGGTGTATTATTGGTGCATTGCTGCTCTCTGGACACTGTGTGACTATCTGGCTTTTTATGCAATGGTGTAATCTGGATTTGTCATCTCGTTGTTGCTTATTTTCCTTGCAGGGGGGAAGGCTGGAAAAAAAATAAATAAACAGCGAGATTTCGAGAGAAAAATAAAAATAAATAAGGAAATAAAATATAAAGAGAGAAATAATATTTATTTTTTAAAAATTTTCGGCAGCATTTCCCTACCCCCCATGGGGTCAAGCATGTGCCAAGAGAAAGAAGAGACCAAGATAAGCATAAGTTTCGAAGTGCCGCAAATGAAAAATTTTAGAAAATAGATAAAAAAATAATAAATAAATAGATAAAGAAATAAATAAAGAAATAAGTAGAGGAGGGGGTGACGAAAAATGAAGTGTTGGATTTTTCAAAAATTTCGGCAGCATTTCCCTACCCCCCATGGGGTCAAGCATGTGCCAAGAGAAAGAAGAGACCAAGATAAGCATAAGTTTCGAAGTGCCGCAAATGAAAAATTTTAGAAAATAGATAAAAAAATAATAAATAAATAGATAAAGAAATAA